CTGAGCTTGGGAAAGATCTCTGAGATCATCAAATCCAAGCTGTGACCAATTCCCACCTTGTCCTCCAGCCCAGAGCACTGAGTGCCACGTCCAGGTGTTCCTTGGACACCTCCAGGGATGGAGACTCCACTGCCTCCCTGGGCAGCCCCTGCCAATGTTTAATCACCCTTTCTGTGAAGAAATTCCTCCTGATGCCCAAACTAAATCTCCCGTGGCACAGTTTGAGGTTGTCCTGTCCCTTGTTCCCTGGGAGCAAAGCCTGACACACTCCCCCCCTCAGCTGCACCTTTCTGTCAGGGAAGTCCTCATGGGACTTACCCTCCAGACCCTTCATCAGCTTCATTGCCCTTCTCTGGACTCGCTCCTGCACCTCAATGTCAGGAAGAATTGAGGGGCCCAGAACTGGACACAGAACACGAGGTGTGGTGTGGCCTCTCTTCCCACAAGCTTGGGAAAGGCTGGACACTGCTCAAAGGACAACCTCAGGGTCCTTCCAGGAAACAGCTCTGGCTCCTGACCAGAGCCACCCACCACACCGGGAGGTTAAAGCCACCACTGCACTGAGGAGGTCACACAGTCCCCAGGTGCTTCCCATGTCTAAATGCAGGGAGGGATGGAGGTCCCTTGGACCACCCATTCCCAGGTGTGTCCTTTGGGAGCCCTCTGGATGCTCAGGTCATGCTGGACCTCTGTTCTCTTAGTGCATGGAGCCCATCTGTGCTGTCCCAGGCAAGCTCTGCTCTGGAGATGCCACAGGGACACGGCAGCACTGGCTTTTCTCCTGCCAGTGTTCCCATCCCATATTTCGGATGTCTCTCCAAGAGCTGCTCCTGTCCCCGCAGGAGCTGGGACACACAGAGCAGGGTGGTACTGCTGGTACTGCCCCTCTGCCAGGGGGTGCTTGTTTGGCACCCAGGCTGGGCTGTGCAGAGGTTTCTTCCCCACCGGCCCGGGGGTTTGGAGGGGCTCAGGGCTGGGGTCCACAGCACCAGCCTAGGGAAGCTGTGCTGCTCCCCAGCGTGTCCACATGGCCAGAGCTCCGGGCTGGGAGCTGAGGCACTGATATGTGCTCTTGGGTTTGGGAAAGGCTCAGCTGGCAGCAATACCCAACACACCCACCTCAGCACAAGAATAAATCTAGAGGGGAGATTTTCATCTTTGCTAGAGCATGTTCCAGCATGGAAGAGTGTTGGTTTGAGACTTGAGGAGCCTCTGGCCTCATGCCAGGGAATGGCAGGGATCCCATGGCATGCACCGGGCAGGGCACGGGTGTCAGGGTCTGTCCCCTCCAGCTGTGCCAGCGGGTGGAGGATCCAGCGGGATTTCTCCAAGGCAGATGCTCCCAGAAGGAGTTCTGTGTGGCCACAGGCAGGTGTGTCAGAACTGCATGCTGCTGGCTGCCAGGGCAACGGCCCCTGGAAGGTTTGTTTCAGGACTTGGTGGCCCTGGGCACCGTGGGTGAGTCCTGGTAGGGGACACAGCTGGTCCCGGCTGACAGCAATCCCCCCCTCCCCTGGCACCCCCATCAAGGCAGCACCCCAAGTGCCATTGTGTCACTCTTATGTCCCCAGATGCCCTGGTAGGGTAATGCCTTACCTCAGAGGAGCAGAGCTGGGACACGTCGACCGCTGGCTCTTCCCCAAGGCAGCTGCAAAATGCTGTAAGAGCTGCTTGCAGGGGAGCTGGGCAGCACAGGGGGGATGTGGCACTGTGCCCCCATGTCAAACACCACGCCCTGCTGACAGGGCTGGTGTTAGTTTGGGGCTGATGGTCCTGCCGGGGTTGGGCAGCAGGAAACATCCCCGTTCCTGGGCAGCGTCGCAGCGAGGCTGAGGGATGTGTTCATCTGTTTGATCTTCTTTGGTTTTGATGAGCCCCTTCCTTAGTTTATTAATTAACTGGTGGTTGGGAGCTGTGGGAGTGTCCAAAGGCACCGCTGGTCCCCAGGGCCACTCAGTGAGTGTCCCCTCCTGACTCAGAGCTTTGCTGCTCATCTTGCTCCTCTTGGTGTCCCCCACCAGCTGCAGCTCCTGTTCCTCAGCCCTGGCAGCAGACACTGTACCCCGCCAGCCCCAGCTGTGCTCTCCTCCCACCTCCATGGCCCCCACACGGCCCTCCCCCTCCCCAGCGCCACAGCAGTGCCCCTGTGGCTGCTCTGACACAGCTCTTGTGATGGCAGGGGATGGGACACCCGTGGCCTGTGCACTCGGCTGACTGGGCGCATTGTGGGCACAACCACGTCACAGGGACACTGAGTGTGGGTGAACTCACACTGGTGTGAGGTGGAGGTGACAAGGAGCAGTTGGGCACCTCCTCCCAGGTGACATGTCCTTGGCCCAGGTAAGCAAATGGCTCCCAGTGGAGTGACCTGAGCACTTGGGGCCATTACAGCTCAGCCTTGGTGACACTGAGCCCTGGGAAACCACATCACAAGGGGAAGGAGGAGGAGCTCCTATGAGGCAGGTCCCTAAACCTAGGGCCCAGGTTGCACACCACCTCAGGGTGTGCAAGTATCACAGAATCACAGAGTATTCTGAGTTGGAAGGGACCACGAGGATCACCCAGTCCAGCTCCTGGCCCTGCACAGACACCCCAACAATCCCACCCTGTCCCTCAGAGTGTTTTCCAAACCCTCCTGGAGCTCTGGCAGCCTTGGGGCTGTGCCCACTGCCCTGGGGAGCCTGGTCAGTGCCAACCACCCTCTGGGGGAAGAACCTTTTCCTGAGATCCAACCTAACCCTGCCCTGACACAGCTCCAGGCCATTCCCTGGATCCTATCCCCTGGTCACAGAGAGCAGAGATCGGAGCTGCCCCTGCACTGCCCCTCGTGAGGAAGCTGCAAACCCCAATGAGTTTCCCCTCAGTCTGAAGTTCAGCCCCTTCTTGAGGCTGAACAAGCCAAGTGATCTCAGATGCTCCTTGTAAGGCCCCTCAAGGCCCTTCCCCATCCTCGTGTCCCTCCTTTGGACACTAACAGCTTCACATCTTTCTCATATTACAGCGCCCAAACTGCCCCCCAGCACTCGAGGTGAGGCTGCCCCAGACCAGAGCAGAGCAGGACAATCCCCTCCCTCAACGAAGGGAGGACTGAGCAAAGGGGGGATGGTGCTCCTGTCCTGTACTCACCCATGCCCTGGAGCCAGCCCAGGATGGGCCACCTGGAGTCACCGGGGACATGGAGCCAGGTGCTACCTGAATAGAGGCTAGTGGGAGCAGGTCACACTGAGCTTCTAATCCCCAGTATGGACCAGTCTGGGCTAAATATGTGTCAGTTTATGGATCCTGCTGGCCCGGGCTGCTGGTTGTCCCACTGCCATTCCACAACAGCCAGGATGAGCCGGCAGCGGCACCAAGGGACAGCCTCTGTCACTGATGGGAACCTCCTCAGTTCCCACCCCCTTTCCAGAGAGAAGAGCAGCAGCCACTGGTCCCGTTGTCATCAGAGGATCTCTTGGGGAGATCAGCCCGACCAATACATCCCTGGTGCCCCCTGGGTCTCTGAGCTGACAGAGCAGTGACACAGCTGTCTATAGGGCAGTTCCTGTCCCTGACCCCACCTGCACAGACCCCAGGGCAGAGGGGAGACTGGGGGGGCAGAGCCAGAGCTGGGCCAGGGAGGCTTCCCCTCCAGCCCTGGCTGCCAGGAGATGTTCTGTCAGAGGGAACATCAGCAGAACACACAGGTCTGTGACACACGAGGTGGGAAGGAGCACAGGCTGCTGGGCTGAGGGTGAGGGGCTCATCAGCCGTTCCCGACACCTTTGTGGTGGGAGCTGGACACCAGGGGTGCCAGGGTGTCCCTGGCACCGGGACCTCCCTGTGACACTGGTATCTTGACACCTTGGTCCACACTTCCACATGGAATACTGAACTCCTGCTCTCTGGGGTCTGAGCACAGTGTTTCACAGCAAAGTCAGGGTTCAGTGACACCCCCCTTCACAACTGGCATCAGCAGTGCATGGTCCTGCCCTTTGCCCTGCCCTCCCCGGCCTCCTACTTCCAGACGTAGGGAACGGAAGTGAAATCCAAAAAACATCTGCTAAAAACCACACGTATCAGTGTTCTCCGGCTCACAGCACAGCCCCACAAAACTCTGAGAGAGCTCTGATGGGATGAAGTGCTCAGGGAAGTGAGAGGACAGATGGGAATCAATGAGCTTTGCTGTAGGGCAGGGCAGAGGTCTGGGGGGTATGAAGGGATCTACAGCACGCACCCACCCACCCTCCAGGCAATTCCTGCTCTCAAAGCGGCAGTTTTAGGCACAACTGCTTTCTATGGAAAAAGTTTTAAATGAACCCCAATCCTTCAACGCACTTTTATTTTACAATAAAATAACTGGCACACCCAGCAGCGCTCGCAGGGCAGGACAACACGGGGGCTGGGAGGGCTGAAACAGGAACGCGGCACAACGGGAGTTTTTGGGGGAATGTGGTGCTCTGTGGCACGGCAGCGAGCTGGGGCAGCGACCAGCCTGTCACCAGCCTGTCACAGCCTGTCGCCGCCCTCTGCACAGGGATAACGCCGAGGGGAGCCGGAGGCCCGGGCCCGTCCCCCCGTCCCCGCGGGGACCCTCAGTTCACACGGCAGGCCCGGATCATGAGCAGTTGGAGCAGGATGAAGACGGGCGACATGATGAGCCCGTACCAGAGCTCCCGCGTGTGCTCCACCAGCTTCTGGCACAGCAGCATCTCGAACACGAACTTGAGGCTGAGGATGGTGAGGATCCAGAAGAGCCGCAGCACCGCCAGGCGCTTCTCGCCGTCCTGGAACAGCCGCACGGACACGATGGTGGTGAAGTAGGTGCTGAGCCCGTCGGCGGCGAAGAAGGGCACGAACACGACCCACCAGGAGAGCGCGGCGGCCGCGCCGTCCACCTTGAGCACGAGCAGCACCGTAAAGGCGAGCAGGGCCAGCGCGTGCAGCAGCAGCTCGAACGTGGCGAAGCCCAACCACTGCACGAGCTCCCGCAGGGAGAACAGCATGGTCCGGGGGCGCGGGGCAGAGCCGGGGAGCGGCACCGGCCCTGTCCGGGGCACCGGGCCCGACCCGCCCGGGGCTCGGCCCGCCCGGCGCGGGCGGCGCGCGGCGATGACGTCAAAGGGGCGCGGTGGTTGATGACGTCACAAGGAGTGCGGAACGGGCGGGGGAGCCCCCTCAGCCGCCGTGTGACGTCACGGGAGCGGTCGCACTGTGGTGACGTCACGGCGGGATGGGGCCTGTCCATGGTGAGTCCGAAGAGCCGGGAGATCCCCCAGGGATCCCGATCCCTGCGGCCCCTCTGCCCTGGGGACGGGCTTGGAAAACCGGGGGGGTTCACCTGGAGAAGGGAAGGATCCAGGAGAGCTCAGAGCCCCTTCCAGTGCCTAAAGGGGCTCCAGGAGAGCTGGAGAGGGACTGGGGACAGGACGAGGGGGAATGTATTTCCACTGCCAGAGGGCAGGGCTAGATGGGATATTGGGAAGGAATTGTTCGCTGTGAGGGTGGGGAGGCCCTGGCCCAGGCTGCCCAGAGAAGCTGTGGCTGCCCCTGGTTCCCTGGAAGTGTCCAAGGGCAGGTTGGACAGGACTTGGAGCATCCTGTTCTAGTGGAAGGTGTCCCTGCCCATGGCAGGATGTGGAATGGGATGAATGTGAAGATCCCTCCCAACCCAGATCAGTCTGTGATTCTGTGATTTTGTTTTTTATTATTATCATGTAATTTATTGTTAGTATTTTATGGGCACATGGTGACAGCAGCCGTTTGCAGCTCAGACATCCCTCTGGGCTGGATTCCCTGCAGGATTCCCTGTCACACACAGGGCCTTGCTCTTTGGCAGTGTGGCTGAGAGCAGTGTGTGTCTGATCACACCTTTCTCTGTCTCTGAGCTCCAGGCTCTTCCCCAGGCCTCTTCAAGTGAGGGGAATTCATAGGGCAGACAGGAAAGTTAAAACCAGCAATGGGGAACAGCCGATCCCAGGACTGCACTTACCCTGTGGGGATGAGGGCAGTTAAACGAGCCGGGATGTGCATTTTAGTCCCTCCATGCCCGGGCAGTGGGGACAAGGAGCATAGTGTGTCCCTGCTGCTCCTGCAGGCAAGGACACGGCGGTAATCCCTCAGCGCTGTGCAGGGGTGGGAAGAGAGCCCACGAGCCTTGTATCTCAGTGCTGGATCCCAGCTATTCACACCCCTGGGCTGTTTGCTGTGTCAGCCCCACACATGTCACCTTGACCCCCAGTCCCTGGTGCTCCTTTGGGTGGGGTTGGTGCTGCTGGGCCCAGGGCAGGCCCAGCTCTGCCCCCCCAGCTCCTTTCCCCTCTGGGTGGTGGCTCTGGTTTGTCTTTGCAGATGGCAGAACGGAAGCTCCTCGTTCTCTTTGGCAGCCAGACGGGGACGGCCCAAGACATGGCCGAGAGGATCGGGAGAGAGGCCGCGCGCCGGCACCTGCGGTGCAGGGTGGAGGCCCTGGACAGCTGTGACCTGGTGAGATGGGACACATGGGGGACTCTGGGCACTGCTGCTCCTGCTCCATCCCCACCAGCCCCATTTCTGCCACTTGGGCATCCTCCACCCTTGCTGTGATCTGCTGTGTGTCACCAGGGTCTGGCTCTGTGCCCTCCCTGGGGGCAGCTTGTGCTTAACTCAGCTCCCTTAACTCAGGTGGGTAAAGGGAGCAGGGACTCCTGGGATGGAGTCACAGACACTCAGCCTTTCCCTGCCAGGTGAGGGGCTGGTGCTGCAGGGAGTGGGTGGGCAGCAGATGCTGCTGCAGGGCCTATGGAGGAGCTTGTGCCGCGCAGGGCTGTGGGTTTTATTCCAAGCGTGGTCAGTCTGGGAGCTCACTGTGGTGTGGGCAGCCATGTGGGGACAGTCAGGACACGTATTTCGTAAATGACACAAGGGTTTGGGTTGGGAGGGACCTTAAAGATCATCCAATTCCACCCCTGGCCATGGGCACGGACACCTTCCACTAGAACAGGATGCTCCAAGCCCCGTCCAACCTGGCCTTGGACACTTCCAGGGATTCAGAGGCAGCCACAGCTTCTCTGGGCAACCTGTGCCAGGGCCTCCCCACCCTCACAGCCAACAATTCCTTCCCAATATCCCATCTAGCCCTGCCCTCTGGCAGTGGGAAGCCATTCCCCCTTGTCCTGTCCCTCCATCCCTTGTCCCAAGTCCCTTTCCAGCTCTCCTGGAGCCCCTTTATGCGCTGGAAGGGGCTCTCAGGTCTCCCTGGAGCCTTCTCTTCTCCAGGTGAACACCCTCAGCTCTCCCAGAGCAGTTTGTAGGCTGCTGACCTGGACATGCCTCTCCATGTCTGTGCCCACAGGCCAACCTCATCCATGAGCCACTGGTGGTGTTTGTGTGTGCAACCACTGGCCAGGGAGACCCACCTGATAACATGAAGGTAGGACATATTCCTGTCCATCTTGCTTTTATGTTCCTGATCCATGGAATTCTCTCTAGAAGCAGCTTGAGCAGTGGTTGTTTTTGGAGGGGGGAGCACCAGTCACTTCTCATGGGACATGAGCAGGGAGCTGGTGAGGGGGCTTTCAGAGGCCACCTCTGCAGGAGTGCTCCCCCCTGTGTTGGGGTTCAGGATGGGCCCGATGGGGGCAGAGCAGGGATCTGGGGGCTGGCAGGCAGGGCAGGCTGCCTGGGCAGCAGCAGGACTCCCCGGCCGTGTCCTCCGTAGATGTTCTGGCGGTTTCTGTTCCGGAAGAACCTGCCGCCCGGGTCCCTGTGCCAGCTGGACTACGCCGTGCTGGGCCTTGGCGACTCATCCTACCCCAAGTAAGCAGTTCTGCAGCTCCTGAATGGCTGCTCCTCACAGCGCTGGCTGCAGGAGGGACCAGAGGGGCTGGAGAACGGAGGGGGTGGGGGGAGACAGAGCCTGACTCTGGATGAAATGAAATGAAATGAAATTCCCACCAGCCTTAAAAATCCTTGCTCTACCAGCCTGTGTCCCTCCCAAATCTCAGGAATTAGGCTTCTGCCCATTTCTTCCCCCCCAGCCTCTCCAAGCAGGTCGTTTGCTGCAGTGGGTCTGACATCAGGTGTCAGTCATTTGTTGCAGCCGTTCAGTTTTCCATCTGAACTGCAGGGAAGCAACTTTGAGCCACAGCACAGGCTGTGCCACTTGCCAGTGGGCCATCAGGAGACATCAAACACAAATGGCAGCCAGCCCTGTTGGTACCAGTTCTATCCCAAAAGATTGTTCCCGTGTGCCTGAAAGAGCTGTGGTGGGAGGGGTAGGCGTGCCAGAGCTCCATGGGGCAGTGAGGGGCTGGAGTGAAGGAAGTGTTCTGAGTCCCTGAAGGGAAGCAGGACCTCCGTAAGTCCCTTCTGGGAGCTAGGCACAGCCCGTGAGGCCCAGCAAGTGGCAGGCAACTGCTCCTGTGAGTTGCCCTAGGTTGGGGCACAGACTGGGCAAGGCACAGGCCAGGTTGTGTTGCTGCCTCTGTGCTGCTCCTGTGGCCCTGGCAGCAGGTGCTGGCTTCTGTGGGCACTGCCTGCTGTGCTGCTGGAGCAGCCCTGCCTTCACAGCTGTGTTATTTTCTGCTTAGGTTTAATTTTGTTGCAAAGAAGCTGCACAAACGGGTGCTACAGCTTGGGGGCAACCCGCTGCTGCCAGTGGCCTTGGGAGATGACCAGCATGATCTGGGGTAAGAGCCATGGGGAGGTGTGGCAGGGGGAGCCCTGGGGTGCACTACAGCTCTGTCCTTGGGCTGCTGGCAGGGCTCTGTGTGCTTTACACACAGCCCTGCTGTGCCTGGGGAACAGCAGTGTGCTGCTCCCACCACGGGGCTGCTCCAGCAGCTCTGTGAACGTGCTGATCTCTGCTCATAACGCTTCTGTGCCAGGACCTGGGTCACCTGCTTCTCTGGGGTGTCCCACGACCCCCAGGATGTGCCAGCATCTCCTGGCTCAGCTCCAGTCCTGTTCAGAGCGGGGAATGGCTGTGTCACACAGCCACGTGCCTGCAGCAGCCTGACCTGTGCTCACCTGGCATGGGGCAGAGGCTCTGTGTGGCTCATGGAATTGGTGATGGCCACAGGTGGTGCTCAGGGGGCTTGTGCTTCTGTTCAGGTGTCAGTGGTTGGGCCCCATAGAGCAAGTGAGTGCTTAGAGTGTCTGAGACAAGTTTCCTCCCAGACCTGAAGCTGTAAGGGAACAGCCTGGGGTGACTGTGCAGTGCAAGGGGAGCAGGGCTGCCCCAGCATTGGGCAGGTGCAGGGGTAGCAGGGCTTGGGCCCTAAGGGATGATGATGTTCTGCTGCAGCCTGACTTTCCCTCTTGCAGGCCGGATGCAGTGGTTGATCCATGGCTTGTGGCCTTATGGGACAAGATCCTCACTTTGTATCCTCTCCCTCCTGGCCTTGAGATCATCAGCCTAGACACATGGTGGGTGCAGAGGGTGGGCAGGGTGGGCCCCAGCAGGGACTGGCTGCTGTGCAATGCCACACTTCCTTGGCTGTTCTCCAGAGTGGAGATGTGCTCTGCTTTGACCAGGAACCCTTCCCACACAGCTACTGGTGTCCCAAGTGTTCCTTGTTCTTCTCTCTGGATGGTGTGTCCCTTTGTCCCCCGCGGGTGTGTGTCAGCTGCCCCAGCCAGGTTGTGCCCATCTTGCCATCCTGATGTGCCTCTGCCCCTGGCAGAGTGTGTGTGCCCAGCCAGCCTCCCTCTGCCTGTTCTGGAGACTTTGGAATCTCCTGGCAGTCTGCATTGCATTCCCTTACAAAGCCAGCTCTGGGGAACAGGGATGATGGGTGGTGGATGCAGTGGGAAACTCCAGGCCTCGCCCTGGAGCAGCAGAGGAGCTGTGGCATGGAGTAACCACTGCATTGCTCTCCTCTCCACAGCCTGCCCCCAAAATACACCCTGCACTACCTGCCTGAGGACTCCCCACCCCCCGAGGGTGCCCTTCTCCAGCCGACAGCACTCAGGGCTGTTCCCTCCGAGCTCCGTCCCTTCGCTGCCCCCGTGGTGTCCAACCAGCGGGTCACGGCACAGTCCCACTTCCAGGACGTCCGGCTCATCGAGTTCGACATCACGGGCTCGGCGATCACGTGAGCATTTCCCTGACTCCCGCAAGCTTTGTCCTGTGGGACTGGGTCTCCTATAGCCTGCCTTCCTCTACCACTCCCTGTCTCCACTAATATGTGATGTTGCAGCCCTGAGGACGTGGTCCCCCTCCATGACAAAGTCAGGGGTGTGTGGCAGTGGGGGTCCTGCCCATGGACCAGTTCTCCTTGCCTGTCAATAAGAGAGCACGCTGGTGACACTGGGAATTAGCCTCCCCTGATGTGGTTGCTGGTCGGGGTGGACATGCCATGGCTGTGGCTTTGCCCCGTGGCTCTTCCCTGTGGCTCTGCCCCAGGGCTGTGCTCAGCAGCTCCTGCTGCATCCACAGGTTCAGTGCAGGGGACGTGGTGATGATCCAGCCCCAGAACTGCCCCGAGGACGTGCAGCAGTTTTGCCAGCTCCTGCGCCTGGACCCAGACAGACACTTTGTGCTGAAGCCCACGGAGCCTGGTAGGTCCTGCCCACTGCTCCTTTCCCTCCCTGCTGGGACAGGGCAGCCCCTGAGCACTGGCCCAGCCTGCAGCTTTGCTCTTCCTTTGCTGTAGACCTGGTTCATGGAGTTGGGAGTGTCAGATGGATACAGGACACCTGCCTGTCTGGCAGTATGGGGACTGTCCTTCTCTCCCAGTGCTGTGATCGTGTGCATCCTGCACAGGGTCAGGGTGACTGTGGGAGGAATCCAGCAGTGCCAGGTTCCACCTGGGCCTTGTGCCTTGGCAGCGCCTTGCACAGGGTGGTGAGGATCCTGCAGCCTCCTCAGACCCAGGTCATGAAACCTGTGCTTCCTTGTAAGGGGAGTGCAGGTCTCCCCACTCTAACCCCACGGACCTCCTGCAGGTGTTTCTGCAGCCACAAATGAGCTCTAAAACCAGAGAAACCCCTTGGAGGCCCCTCAGAGCCCTTGGTGGCTCTGCAGTCTCAATGGAATTGGGACAGTTTTCTCTCCTGTCTCCTGAGCACCTATTCCCCTTCCACCTTTCCTGTGTCTGTCCGTGCTGGAATTTTTGCCTGGCAGGCAAACCCAAGAAAAATTCAGGCTGCTCCTCACACCCCTTGGGACATACAAAGGAAACAAGGACAGGCTGACACATGACACTACTGGTTATTTCCACTGCATTGTGTGCAGAATGGGTGGGAGCCATATGGATAAGGCATTATCCCAAAGCACTTCCCAAAAGCAAGGGACAGCTGAACACCACTGACTTCCTCTGTTGCCAAATCTGTGGGCTTGAAAAGCAAACTGGGGAGAGTGGGAGGGAGTGAGGCCCCATGGTGGGAGCAGTGGGAGCTGAAGTTGGCTCCACTGGGGCATTGGTGCAGTGTGTGGGTGCCCACAGGCAGCAGGGCTGCCCTGGCGTGGGGACAGGCAGTGCCAGGCATCCGGCCCCAGGGCTGGCCCTGAGCTCTCCCTGCTGCCTTGCCTTGCAGGCACATCCCTCCCTCCCCTCTTGCCACAGCCCTGCACCATCCGGCACCTGGTCACCCACTACCTGGACATCTCCTGCGTGCCACGGCGCTCCTTCTTCGAGCTCCTCTCCTACTTCTCCACCAACGAGCTGGAGCGGGAGAAGCTGCAGGAGTTCAGCTCTGCTCAGGGCCAGGAGGAGCTGTACAGCTACTGCAACCGGCCCCGCAGGACCACGCTGGAGGTGAGGCTGGGCAGCAGGACACACCTGCTCCATTGGGGCTGTGCCAGGCCAGAAAGCACCCAGGCAGATGATCAGCCATAATTTCTTGGCTGGGGAATTTAATCTACTTCACCCTCTTTATGAAGTGTCTGTGAATTTCCACTGGCAGTTAAGACCAGCTGTAGATCCTTCTCGCTCTGAGGTGGGCTCTCTGCTGCAGCCTGGGAGGCAGAGGGCAATGAACACAGTCGGGTGGTTGGTGCTCAGAGGTGCCCCGTGGGGTGCCTCTGGTTGAGGGCAGCGTGGCACAGCCATGTGGGACAGCCTCTGGCACACTGAGAGCAGGCAGGCTGCCTTCTAGGGGGATGCAGGTTGTCTTCTGGGGTGCAGCAGGCCTCACCCCTCTTGGCTTTGCAGGCCCTGTGGGATTTCCCTCACACCACGTGTGCCATTCCAGCTGATTACCTGCTGGACCTCATCCCTCGCATCAGACCCCGTGCCTTCTCCATCGCCTCCTCCCTGCTGGTAAGAGCTCAGCCCCTTAGGCCTCGTGTCAGGCTCTAAGCTGGGGGTATGGCAGGGCCTGGGCTGGCTGTGCATGCCTTGGGTGTCCAAGCACTACTCCCAGGCCCCTGAACACCCACAGCCCACCCAAACCCCTGCTCTGCAGTGAGTCTGCAGCAGCCTGACCTGCTGGTGCCAACCTCAGGGCTGTGCCAGCCTCCAGATTAGGGCGCTTGCTCTCCTGCAGCCCAATAAGTGCTGTCCCACTGCTCCTCAGAGGTCTGGTGTCCTTGTCACCAGAAGCAGTGGGATGTGGTGCCGTGAAGGCTGAGAGTGCCCCGGGTGGCCCTGGCAAGCAGGAGTGCTGCTCCCTGTGCTGCCGGGAGGTGGCAGTGGGACCTGGCCCCGGTGCTGGCAGACATCAGCCCAATGCACGGCTGGATTTGTCCTCCATGGGGGCCTCTTGGCTTGGACGGTCACTGTCACTGTTGACAACTGTGCAGAGCATTCCTGCAGCAGTGCTGCTCTGGGAAAAAACATTGGAAAGGTTTTGGGCAAGGGCGTGCTCCATTCTAAGTGGCTGTTTTGGGCTAGGATGATGTGTAGGCACCCTGGCAGGAGCTGGGCACAGGTTTTGTCCCTGGAGGAGGTGCTGGGCCCTTCCTGTGAAACTGTGCTGGGTATCTCCTCATTTCTCGTGGCTCTTGTCTGGACACAGGCTCACCCTGACAGGATCCAGATCCTCATGGCAGTGGTGCAGTACAAGACACGGCTCAGCAAACCCCGCCGTGGGCTCTGCTCTACCTGGCTGGCTTCTCTCAATCCAGAGCAAGGTAATTGCTTGGACTCTGTGTGCTTGTCACAGCACCCAGCAGTGACCCCTTGGGACCTTGGTGGAGCTGTGTGTGTGCTGGCCACGTGCTGGAGCTGCCTGGGTCCTGGCTGGAGCACCACCTCCGTGGGGGCTGGAGCACACTTGCTTGGCAGGATAAGCTGAACTCACAGGTAGCTGTTCTTCCTTGCTGCTCCCATCTTCTTCAGAGCATGGTGTGCTCCTCTAGCGTCCTCTGAGCTCCTGGTTTTCTCCCAGCTGCTTGACCCTCCTGCTCCCGAGTGTACCCTGCTGTCCCCCTGATGGCTGCTCCTGGTGTCCTGGAGCTGGTAATATTCTGACTGCTGGACACCTCCAGCCCCACAGCCCCAGCTCTGGGAAGGCTGGTCCTTCCTTTGAGCGCATCCACCCTGTCCTGCAAAGCCTGTGTGTGCTGCTCATCTGCTCCAACCACAAACCACCTCCAGTGGGTCCCCACGCAAATGTGACAACCTCATGGGGTCTCCCAACTGCAGAGTGGTAGAGAATTCCTCTGTATGGGTCCAGGGCAAGACAGGGGCTTCTCAGAGTACCTCCATGGGGCTCTTCACCCAGATGAGTTAAGTGTGGCCTCCCTTCCATCCAGCCAGGTTGGGATCTCTGCCTGCCTTCCCTGCTGTCCTCCCTGGCACGGGCTGTGTGAGGAGAAGGCTGTCCCACAGCCCGGGTGCTGAGGGGCTCTTGCCTTGCCCTGGGGTTCACTCAGGTTCTTGCAGAGGAGATGCTGAGACAGCTGAAGCACTTTTCACACGCACAGGGTGTGCCCTTGGTGCTTGGGGTGGTGAGCCAGGTGCTGTTCATGTCTTTGGAGCATCCTGGAAGAGCTGGATGCCTGGCTCCCCCTCTGCAGGCTGTGCCAGGGACAGGGATGGTGGAGTGATGCTATTCAGTCTGTTTGTTTGCAGGTGATGTCCGGGTGCCTCTTTGGGTGAAGAAAGGAGGAATGAAGTTCCCAGCTGACCCTGCCACCCCCGTGATCATGATTGGCCCTGGCACAGGGGTGGCACCTTTCCGAGCAGCGATACAGGAGCGGGTGGCACAGGGACGTAGAGGTGAGGGGTGGTCCTGGGAGGGATTTGGGGTGCCCCTCGCTGCAGACAGGTCTGTGTCAGCAGACAGCAAGGAGGGACTGGGGGCTTGTGAGGGTGTGGACGGGTGCAGGGTTTGCTGTGTTTGAGTGGGAGCAAGCTGGGCTCAGGGGCAGGTGAGGACCAGAGCCTGTGTGTGCAACCTGTGCTGCAGGGCAGCTCCTTGGGTCAGCATAGGGCTCTGCAGAGGCTTCCTTGGCTCTCTGAGAGTGAAGATGGGTTACTGAGCTCATCTGCTCCTGCACAAGGAGTTGTGCCTCTGCCCTTGTCCCGTTCTCATTCCCCTGACTCAGCCATGAGTCTCAGCAGGAAGCTGAGGCTGGTGGAGGGGAACAGGCAGCCTTTGGGGACAATTTTTGCTCTACCTGCTCCCCACCTCCTGCTTTTCCAGTACACAGGGGCCTCTGGTTGCCGCAGGTCACTTGGCTTCATGCTCACGTGGCTCCTGGCTCTTCCAGGCCTGGGCTGCCAGGCAGGTGCAGCAGAGAGGTGGAAGCCTCTGCTCTCAGCCCCAGGTCCCGTGGGCAGCAGCAGTGCCCAGCACTCACAGGGCATTCGGTCCTCCCAGCACAGCCCCTGTGCTCTGCTCTCTGCAGGGAACTGCCTCTTCTTTGGCTGTCGACAGAAATCCAAGGACTTCTACTGCCAGGCAGAGTGGGAAGAGCTGGTGGCAAAGGGCTTCCTGACACTCTTCACAGCCTTCTCCAGGGACCAGGTTAGTTCCCAGAGGAGGAGGGTGGATACAGAAGTGTCTCAGCCAGCACTGATGAGACTCTGTCAGTGTGTCTGTCCTCTGTAGCTGTTGGCATGGCCTGTGAGGAATCTAGTGGGGTGGCACAGTGTCACCTCTCTGCCCCACACACCTCGGTGCTGGCTGGGATTTGCACCCCAGCTCTGCAGTGCCGGGGCCCTGCCGGGACATGTGTGACTGGAAAGGCTGCTGGTGCGGGGCTGGAGAGCACTGGAGCAGATAAGGCATTAGCCAGCTTTGCTTGGCTGGACCACGTGAGTGATAAAAGGCTCACAAGCCTCTCGGAGGGTTACCAGGCAATAATTTTCCTTGGTTAAGTACCACCCTTCTCACTGTGTCCCTCTGAGCAGTGGCTGAGCCCAGGGAGCTTGGCCTCTGTGCCAGCTCTCCCCAGGTCTCAGCCATACAGGAGAAAGTTCCCTGTAGGTACAAGCATCCCCACAACTCAGCCCCTCACTTTGCTCCCTGGTTTCCTAGACAGTGTCTGTGGTGAGCAGCTCTCATTCTCAGGGCTGCAGGGCTTTTTATGCTGCCAGAGAGGCTCCCTGAGCTGGGGTTCTGTTTCACTGCCTTGCCCTGTCCCTTGATGGCACTGAAAGCTCAGCCTGGCTTTGGAACAGAGATCTGATAAAAAGGGAATGGGGATCTTACAGTAGCTCAGCTGCACCAGCCCTTTCTCCTGACTGTGTGCATGTGTTGACATGAGTCCAGCATCTTTTATGCACTCACTTGTAAGGCATGAGCTGGATGCTTCTGTGAAGGCTTTCCAAGTCTGTGATGAACAGGAGCAGCACTGCAGAGGGTTCTTGGTTGACCAGTGAAGGGGGGACCTGCTGCTCCCGGAGTCTAGAGAGCGGCCAGAGCCACCTCCTGCCCTCACAGACTCTGGAGGGATGGGACTCCCATGGGAGTCCCTTCCTGCTCCACAGGCCAAAGCACTTTGTCCTGAGAGTCTCCTGCCCCTGAGCCGTGCCGGGAGGTGAGCAGGAGCACAGCCAGGTGGGATGAGCTGCATTGGGCCGTTGTACCTTGGGCTTCAGGAGATACCACAGCCCTTAACTCATCAAAAATTTTGTTGTCAAAGAGCCAGGCAGGGGCTGAGATGCTCCATAGCTGAACAGGATTTCCGTCTTCTCTCTTAAGGTGCCCTTTGCAGTGACCTCCTGTCACGTCACGGTGCAGACTGATCCCAGCCTAACGTGGCTGCCTCTAACTCTGAGCAGGATGCCCCAGGGTTTAGCTGAGACACTGTGACCCCAGTTTGTCACTGGAGTGCTCCGGTTTCTGGGCAGTTGCAGGTCCTTAAATGACCCCCTGAGAGCCCCAGCCTGGCTGGCAGGGCCTCTGGCAGCACTCAGCTCATTACTGTTAACGATGTGAGGCAAAGCTGAGAGCTGAGGTGCTCGTGATGGGCATCACCACTCAGAGCTGTGGAGCCGTGCCCAGGTCGACCTGGCACTCCAGTACAATCAGCCAGTGGGGCTGTGGGACCTGCTGCCCACGTGGGGACCAGCTCCTGTGACAGCCAGGGCTGGTGCTGCTCGGGGTTGTTCCCACACACACCTCCAGCCTGCAGCACACAGGGCCCTGAGCCACAGCGAGAGCCGTGCTGGTGTTGGGGCTGGACGTGGGGAGGGGGTGTGGGGAGGGGGCTGTGCCTGTGGCTCAGCTCACTGCTGTGCAAAACCGGGTGTAGTGGGATGCCCAGCACGGGACCTGGCCTTCATCACAGTGTCCCCCTTGTCACAGGAGCCTTCTGGGCCAGCAGTGAGTTCAGGCACGTTAGCAATGGTGTTCTCTTGGGCAGGAGCCAGGGCTGTAGGCAGTTGCTTGGATTCTTGAAGTCTTGAGGATTAACCCTTTGGGAACTCTCCTTAGTTGGGCTGTACTGTGCCAAAAGCCAGTCCCTGAGCACAGTGGAGAGGCAGGGAATGGGACCAAGACCATCCCTCCAAGTTTTCTGCCCTTCCAAGATGTTTCAGGTCTGCAGCAGCCAGGGGTGTGGGGAAGGGTCCCTATCCTGCAGGAAATTTGGCACAGGGAGGCCACAGAGCCTCCTCTGCCTGTGCTGGGAGAAAAGGGGAGAGGGCAGGAAGGAAATCCTCATGGGGCCTCCCCACCTCATGGTCTTAGCCAGTGGACACCTAAAGAGTTGGGAGGGCTACTTTGTCCTCACTGAAGCTCCTGCTGCTGCACCAATTTCCCTCCAGCCCATCTCAGTGCACTGACATCAGATGTGGGGTTCCCCTTCCCTGTGTGGTCATTGATCCAACTGCTTTCCCAGTGCCCCTGCTCTGGGGGGCTGTGCTGTCCTGAGCCCTTGCAAACAGCCCCTGAGAAGAGTCCTGAGAGCAGGAGCTGTGGCTGCTGCCAGGGCTGGCAGGCTCAGTGCCCTGTTTACCCGCAGGAGGAGAAGGTTTATGTTCAGCACCGCATCCAGGAGAACCGGAGGCTGGTGTGGGAGCTGCTGAGCACTGGGAATGCTCATGTCTACCTGGCTGGGTGAGTGAGGGGTCTCTGCGCAGGGACTGGGGGAGTGGGGCTGCGTGTTGCTGCTTCTCCACCTGCTTGGAGACATTCCCTCGGCTCAGCCCCTGGAGTGAGCACACTCCGTACCCCGACAGGTCCCTGCGGGCTGCAGTGGCTGTTGCAGAGGGACAGCTCGTTCCTCCTCTCCCTGTGTCCTGCTCTGTAAGCCCTGGGCTCAGAGGGTTGTTTCTCACTTGAAATCAGAGAAAAGGGTTGTGTGGTGCCCATGGCCACTCATGTGGGCAGAAGGTTTTGAAAGCATAATATACCAGGGCTCCAGAGCAACAGCTTTGGGACCCCTGGCATGTTCTGTCTGGCTCTTCACACGCAAAACTGCCTCCCGGGGCAGGGACAAGACTGGCACCACAGCCAGTCTCCTTTGACAGCACAGTCATTCTCCAGGTGGTTGTCTTGGACTAGTTGGACATCTTGAACTGCTGGCCAAAGGTGGAGTGTGGTCTTTGGAGGCAGAGCATTGGCAGCTCTGCTCTGAGCTCTGTGCCTCTTTTCCTGGGCAGAGCCCTTGACCTGCCTGCCCTCGTGACTCCCTGCACAACAGGGAGGAGAGGGGACTGCTCCCCATTGCCCAGGGTGAGGGTTGTGAAATGCTCTGGGCTCTTGAGCTGGCAAGAGGCTGGTGATGGTGTTTGTGGTGCACCCCGTGACCTGGAAAGGGCTGTGCAAACCTGGGCCTTGCTGTCGACACGAGCAGCAATTGCAGGAGGCTCCTTCCTGCCTGTCCTGTGCAACAGCCGGAACTTCCCCGGCGCCTCGTGGGGCCAGACTGGCCTTGCTGCATTCCTGGGAGAGGGAGATTCTTGTTTACTGCCCAGGAAGTGGAGGCCAGGTCTCCCGCCACACTGTCTGTCACTGCTGCCTGCACTGCTGCCTGTGCTGCCGGGCCTCGCTGCACTGCAGGGCTTCCTGGGCCCTTACCCCAAACTGGGCCCTCCTACCCTTGGATCTGGGCTTCAGGTTTGGTGCACTTGGGACGTGAGTTGTGCCACCATCCACAGCCCAAATGCTGAGACTATTGGGCAGCTGTTGGGTCCTTCTTCCATCCCCTTTCCTACTGTTCTTCTTTGATCCTATTCCCTACTTTCTGGTGCTGACAGAGATACCCTGGGGACTCCCAAAAGAGGATCAATGTCTTGGAAAGAACAGGGCTTGCACAACTGTCCCTATGGCAGGATTTTGGGTGGCCGTGAGGATGGTGTTTTGGGTGTCGGGGTTGCTCTGAGGCTGAGGGCCTTGTCCCTAGCACAGGGTGTCCCTCAGCCCCCATCAGGCAGGTGGGATCCTTGTCCTCCCTGTACAAGTGTCCACTTGCAGAGGGCACTGTCCCTCCCCTACTGAACAGCCCACACTATGTGGAAAGACTCCCAGGATCACCCTTCTCTTTCCTGGCCCACAGATTCTGAACTGCCTGTGGGGTGCCAGACAGGAAGGTGCAGGTGGGCAAGCCCGAAAATGGCCTTTTCCCCCCTAAAAACAGTATTCAGAGTTTCAGCCAGACTAAGATAAAGTGAGTCCTGAGCTGTGTGTCCCTGAGCAGTGTCCCTGGGTCATGTCTGCCTTCAGCCAGGCCAGCTCTGGGGAGCCAGGGCTGTATCTGCTACAGAATTGTTCCCAGCTTGTCTTGCCCAGGGGCAAAAAGGTTGAAAATGTCTCTCTTTTTCTGAAAAAAATAGCTATTTGACATGTTTTCCATCACAAAGCTCGGCTCCATTATCTTGTACTTGCATATCACTGCCTGACTCAGAAACAATAGACTCTTCCAAAAAAAGAAGACCTCCTTTCTGGGTATTTTGGGATGTTAATCAGCTTCAAACAGCAAGTCAGAATTCTGCCTTGTTCTTGGGAAACAGCAAGGACGTTGCCAGATGCTCGTGCCAATTGGAGCAACCTGGGGAATTTTTTATTAGATTTTTTTTTTGTCGCACAGGCAGTTCATCAAATGAAACTCTATCCAGGAAAAAAAGTCTGAATTTCTGATTTCCCCTAAGAAATAATTGTGCTTGAAAGCACTGAATTCTATTTGGGTATTTTTTGCACGGGGGCTCGTGTCTTCTCTATTTCTCTTATTTTGAAGTTTGAACTGGCTTCAGTTCCAAATGTCACCATCAAACCAATCATCTTGGATTTCCTGAGAGCTGGCAGCAGCAGGACGGGAGCGGCTGCTCCTTCCCAGCAGTCTCTTACCCAGCTCAGGATCAGACATGTTTGACTTTGAGTGATTCCTGAGATGAAAGGACAGTTTCCTGCCCTCCTGCCAATAAATTCCAACTCTATGCATATTCCTTGTGTCCCTCTAATGAGGATGCTGGCAAATGGAGCCATGTGGGGCTGCAGTTCAGGCTGCCGAGCTGTGATGCTCCTTCCCCGAGGTCTGGGTACTGCAAATGCCTGCACTGGGAAACCCTGTGGATAATGGGGCTGCTCTCGAGGGAGGGGTAGGATGACAAGCCTGTCATTTATCCCGTGCCAGGCAGCCCATGTGGCAGGGTGAGACAGATTCTCACTGCCCTGCTGCCCCCTGGTCCCAGAGCACTGGGGTGCTGCCCCTGGTTTTCCTTTCTCGCTGCATTGTGCCCCTGCTCTGTCCCCCAGGAATGCCAAGCAGATGCCGGTGGCGGTGGCCGAGGCCCTGCAGTCAGTGCTGCAGCTGGAGGGTGGCCTGTCGCCCTCGGAAGCAGAGGAGCATTTAACAGCCCTGGAACGGTCCCAGCGCTTCCAGTCTGAAACCTGGTCCTAAGCCTGGCTCCCTGCCTCCCCCTTCCCCACAAACTGTCTGAATAAAGGAGCCAGCACAGTGATCTGCCTCTGGCATCTTCCTTGAGCTGGGGTTACCCCAGCCTGGGCAGAGGCCTGTCCGAGGGGGTGGATTTACCCAACCAGCCCTTCCCTGATGGCAGCAGGGTGGGAGGGTGGGTAGGAGGGGGCTGTCTCCTGGGGGGCTGTGTTTGGCTCCCCATGCCCAATCTCCACTGGAGCAGAGGTCAGGGGTCTCTGGGGGGATGCTGCTGGCTGATCTGCTGTCCCAGGGGCTCCAGCCCCGGGGGTCTCCATGAAGGGTGGGCAGCACTGCTGGGCATTGCTGGAGCCAGCAATGGCAGTGGCCACTGTTTGAGGTAGGGCCCAGAGGAAGTGAAGTGTTGCATGGGAGTCTCTCCACCCTGGCATTAGTCAGCAGCGTTTGCTGCAGGAGGAGGTTGCCTGGACAGACCTGTTCCCCCTGTCTCCAGTGGCCAAGGCCAGCAGGGACAGGCACAGGAGGAAGCCTCGATCCCTCTGTCTCTGCCGCCGGTTCATCATCCTGAGCCTGCCTAATGCTGAGGTCTGAGCTCTGTGTGCCAGCTCCTGCTGAGTTATTGCCTTCCCTGCTCTGCTGCATCTGTCCTCCACCCCATCCTGGGAGCTGCTTCCAGCCCTTTCCCTGCAGCCTTGGGGTTGTGCACCCTCCTGGCCCTGCCAATGTCCCAGTGGGACCAGTGCCACCACCTTCCTCCCCCAGTTCAGCAAACTGGGTGCCACCATGTAAATAGCAATTAGGACCCAGGGCATGAATCAGCCAGGGACAGTCCCTGGGAGCAGGCTGGGACAGGAAGAGACAGCAATGCCACACCACACCTGTGACCCAGCCACCCTCCCACGCTCCGAGTCATGGGGTCTTGCAGGGGAGAGCAGAGCCCCAGGGCATCGCTCGAGCTGTGGCACCACAGGGAGGGGGAACAGGGTGGTTTTGGGGCTCCCCACCCCTCTATTTTGCCCTGAGGAGCTCCTGCACTTGCAGCCCCTGGCTGGACTGAGTGTCCCCATGGCCCAGGGACAGCCCCGGGGGACAGTGCAGAGCTCCTGCATGGCAGTCATCATGCTGGTGACACCATCCCCTCATCCAGGCAGGATACTTCCTTCCAAGCCCTGCAAACTGCTTGTGGGATATGGCAGGGAGAGATGGCCCAGCACAGGGACTGACCTGGGGGATAGGGAGCTGGACTGGAGCAGCACAGGGCCCGTGCTGGGCGGCTGTACTGTCTCTGAGCGGGGAGACAGCGCTGGGGGAACACAGGGCTTGTGCTGGGGGGCTGTGCTGGCTGAGCACAGGAGCAGTGCTGGGAGGCTGTGCTGGTCTCTGAGCTGGGGGCTGTACTGGAGGGGCCCATGCTGCCATGCCCAGGGGCAGGGGTGTGGGGAGCACTGGCCGCAGAGGTGGCTCCGTTTGTGCTGGGCAAGGCGAAGAGGCGGCCGTGGGCCCGGCTCCTCCCCGGCTCCGGCGGGAGCTGATTGGCGCGGGCATGGCTTCCTGCCCCGGGCTGCTGCATTTGAGCCGCTTCCAGAAGCTGACAAACCAGACTGGTTAGAGCCAGGCTCGGCCCCAGCCCTGCCTGGCCCGCAGCAGGAGGCAGCTGCCTGTGCGGGTGCCCGCCACGCCTGCACCCCTCCTGGCAGAGCAGGCAGCGCCCAGTGCGTCCTCCCCGCCGGACCGTGGCGGGTCAGGACTGCGTTGGTGCTGGGGAGGAGGAAGAGGAGGAGGAGGAGGAGGAAGAAGAGGCTGTTGGATGCTCATGGTGATGCCCCTCTTGGGGTGTTCTGTCGGTGAGGATGATGGGGGTACACTCTGCTTTGATGGCTCCTGACCCTTTGGTCTGGGAGGGTGCCCCAAACTGTGCCAGAGGGATGGTGGGACTCTGTGCACATGCTGCTGCCTCCAAACCCTTCTGGCAGCCGTGCTGAAGGCTGCCTGCTGCCCTGGAGCAGCACCCACGTCCTGCGCCCAGCCCCAAGGGGTCTCGGGAGGTGGTGGGTGAGGGGGGTGGCCTTGGAGCTGCTGTCCTCATGGAGGCAGCAGCAGGCGAGGAGGCAGAGCCTGGGACCCAGTCTGTGCAGACGGCTAGTGGGGAAGGCTGTGCCAGGCAGTGGGGTGAGAGTGAGACTGTGGGGCCAGGGGACCCTGGGGAGCTACCCCAACTCTGTGGAGAGGCGTCTGCTGCTGCCTGGGGACACTGGAACCCACCGCCAGCGGAGGATGCAACGGAGCCGCTCCTGCCTGGGCATGATGAACCACCTGCAGGGCAGGACCCTCCTGCTGCCACCGCCACCAGCCCCATCCCGCCCTGCAGGGAGAGCCCAGCGCTGTGGGGGGTGTCTCCCAGCATGGAAAGTGCCTCCAGCTCTATCCTGAGCCTCTTTGGCAAGGAAGAGGCGATGTCGAGCGATGAGATGGCGGCGGCAGCGGAGCCGTGCCGCGTGCTGGCGGGCAGTGAGGACGAGTGCCCCATCTGCACGGAGCCCTACGATGACCAGCGGCACAAACCGGCCCTGCTGAACTGCAGCCACGGGCTGTGCCGCGCCTGCCTGCGCGCCATCATGGACACGGCCGCCGGCGCCGAGTTCGGCCGCGTGCGCTGCCCCATCTGCCGCCAGAAGACACCCATGCTGGAGTGGGAGATCTGCAAGCTGCAAGAGGAGCTGCTCCTGCTGCACGCCCAGCCCGGCTCCCCCGGCACCCTGGCCACCCCCCGGCCCCCCGTCCTGCCGCCCCGGCGCCCCGGCCTGGCCGGTGCCCTCGAGCATCGCTTCCAGGTGCGCTTCCACACCAGCCGCATGTTCGGGTGCCTGCCCTGTGTCCGGTACCCGCCCTGCCTCATCCACGGGCTGGCGCAGCTGGAACGCCGCTGCCGCTGCTGCTACCTCCTGCTCCTGGTGCTGCTGCTGGCGGCAGAGATGCTCAGCTTGCTCCTCATCTTCCTCCCCATCGTCCTCATGGTGATTCTCTTCCTCATCCTCGATAAATAGTGCTGGGTTGGTGCCCCCAGGCTGAGCTGTGTGTGGGGAGAGGAGCCCTGCTCCTGCTCTGCCCCGGGGCTGCAGTTGGGTTGTGGTGCCAGCTGGAAGCAGGCCTGTGACCCTGACCTGGCGCTGCCGGTGAGCCCGGAGTGGTTGAGGCAGCGGAGGAGCTGGAGCAGACAGCCAAGGGAGGCAACCCCGAAGCTGGGCAGCACCTGTGCCCCACGGGGCACCAGGAGACACAGCACTGGAGCAGCAAAGGGCGGATGGAGTGGGACCCCTTCCTGCACTGGGAACATCCCTGACACAGGGCTTGGAACCAGAGGGGCTCTGCAGGCAGAGCAGGACTGTGCCATGGGCTGTGCCGTGGGCTGTGCCACCCACGCCCATGACAGACAGCCTGGGATTCCCCAGCATGGATTGGAAATACAACCTGCATTTGTACCACAGCCATGTCCAGCTGAGTTCAGTGCTTGGTCCAGGCTGAGCATTGTCCCCTTGGGACCCAGTGGTGACACAAGGAGGGGACAGGCACAGCCAGTGATCCCCAACCACCCTGAGAGGGGTGCCCACCCCACCCAGCACCTCCCAGCCCCTGCCGTGCCGTGCCAGCCCGTGCTCAGGCCGTGCCCTTCAGGCAGATAAGAGAGCAAACACGGCTCTGTCCCTGCAGCACACGGGTGGAGGAGCCTGTGGTGAGTGGCACTGGGGCCATGCCCACGTGGGACCTGCCCATGGCTGCCGTGGAGCAGGAGTGTCCCAGGGCTGAGCAGGGTCTGGGCTCTGCCTCTGGCTGGGCAGCCAGGCTCAGATGGGGGCCCTGTCCCAACCAGGCAATGCCCGAGTCACAGTGCAGCTCCTCTGCACCCTTGCTCCTTGACACTCCTTGGGGGCACCTGTACCCTGAGGGGACAGGGATGGGGATGCCTCCAGGCTTTCAGCCACCTTTGGGCTGGTAGAGGGTGGCAGGGAGTTGTCAGACCCTCGAGATCCCCCCAGGATACCATTTGGGGGGTGCTGGCACCCGTGGTCACAGCCTGGGATGTACTGCTCTGCATTTATCACTGCTGGGCTCCTCTGGGTGCCGTGCCAAGGCTCTGCACAGACCCTGTGCAAATCACCCCCCTGGGCTGTCACCCCTCCCCATCCCCGCCTGCCCATCCCTGCTGAGGGACTGGTGATATTGCTGTTCCCTGTCCTCCTGCCCAGCCATGCCAGGCTTGTGCAACCATCCACATGTCCCAGCTTTGCCCTTCTCCCCTGGAAACACACCGTGGGCACCTCCCCAGGCCTGTGGCTGTGGGGGACCACACAGCACCCCCCACCCCCTTCCCCTTCCTCCTGCACAGGGAACCAGGTCAGTGAGCACTGCCCTGCCCACACAGCCCTGCAGGAAACACATGTCCTTGTGCCCGTGGGCCACATGTCCTTGTGCCTGTGGGGGCAGAGATTTGGGCTTGGGCTTTGCAAGGGCACTCGTGCCACTCCCGGTGTCAGCGCTGCCATGCGTTGCCCTGGCAAAGTACCGAGGCACGGGATAGGAGCAGGGCACACCAAAACAGGTCAGGCCAGGAGGCAGAGGCAGGTGGGTCACCCCCAACCCCTGTGGCACCAAGGAATATTTATTTATACCAAGTGGAGCAGCTCCATCAGGAGAAGCGCCAGCTCAGCCCTGGCTGGGGGCATTTTTGACTGGATGGAGCCTGCAGGGAGGGGAGGCTCAAACACCCGGGGGGGCCCTGTCACCACGTGGGACCCTGCACGTGTCCCTGCTGTACATTGCATGGGGGGTGTGATGGGTGTGTGGGTGAACCAGG